GTGATGAAAATTCTGTAAATCTTAAGAAAATACAGTTAAAATTGCAAAATCTATGTACTTCATATTTTCCAAAGCCTTCCAGTGGGCCAGATTGGAGTTTTTGCTGAGCTGATTCTGGCCCTGGACTTTGTTTGACACCCCTGCCATATATAATATATTTATTAAGAGCTGAATTAAAGCAGTGTTATTTGCATGCATGCATCTGTCATGGAGCACTGAGATTCATTACAAACCTGAAAGACCTCACCCACCACTGTGTGTTGCACCCTCGGGTTAGATGAATGGGTCTAAACAGTATATAAAGGGACACAGGGGAGGTTCTGATCATAAACAAGACACAAAAAGGCAGATAATCTACACAATTTAAAACCTGCGCATCAGACGATCTGCATTCCCTTTAAAATTCATTCCAGAACCAGAACTTGGAAATCATGACCTGGTTCACCTCCCTCTTCACCTCCTTCCCCCAGCTGATCCCTGTACAGTATGTGCCACCAACAGGCTCCACCCTCCCAGCTAATCAGGATCAGCAGCCATGAATGAGACGCAGCAAGAGAGTCTCGAGAGCCCTGTTACTGTCCCAGACATCAGACTGTGAGAGGGCTGCAAGCCACCTGCAGGAGGCTGCGACCACAACGCAACCAGAAGAGCAGAAGTCTGTTGGAAAAATCTAAGAAAACGACAGGAGCAGAGAAAACTACTTAATTCTCCAGTTTCTTCTCCAGCCCTTCTTCAGCCATCCTGTTAATTTTGGGCAGAAGACAACAGAGGATAGAAGAGAAGAATAGTGGATCTTATGAATTGTGCTGAGAGGTAAGTGGGGCAGACGAACATGGGTCGAGGCCTGAGGGCTTTTTAGGCCAGAGGGCCGCTGCTCTGCTATTGCTTTAGACCAAAGCCTCTTATTGCTCACTTCGTCCTGTGCCAGCACTTAAAGCAGCCATTGTGTTTCCCTCAAAATAAATAAATCTGGCTGCACTGTGTATTTATTCCATGAAGTCTGGATGGTTTCTTCTAAATTAGATTAGAGATCACCTCTTGTCACATAGGAACGTTTTTAAGTGTCTCTTTGAGAGCAAAAACCAATGAAAGCGGCACAGAGGAACATCATTCATGCATTACAGCAGGTTAGAGAGGAGCAGTGAATACAAACGTCAAACGCTGAGAGCTTTTCAAACTCAATTATGGCAGCAGGAGGTTCTCCCATTGAAGAAGCTGAAACTAGAGAACGGCATTTTTAATTTGATAATCCCCAAACTTATTAATTGATTGTTTCAGCTCTTTACTCAAGGTGCTCCTTTTCTAGCACATTTTGGATGGTTTTCAACCACAAGTGTAGATATTCTGAGTTGGGGGGGATTTAACAGCTGTTTCAGAGCTCAATAATTTAATTTTTATGCAAAATCAAGGTGGGATACGTGAGGAAAACACCAAGAAGTTGCAAAGTTGAACCAGCGAGTCTGCCTGTGATCCAAGAGAGCAAACATATCTAACACTATTATATGAAAAAAAATAATTTTTTATTAGCAAACCAAAGGGTTGGGCCTTTACAACTTCATTGTAAAGAGTTTAAATAGCTTTAGATTTAGGTCAGTTTAAATATGAAGTTAGAAGACCAGCGGCAGACGGGTGACCTCTAGGGTGAACCGTACCTGTCACCCTGTGACCCAACGGTGGGTTGGATTGGGCCATGCTTGAATGCATTACCACATAAATCATATACAACACACATGAGCCTTCTCAGAGATTGCAGTCTTTAGAGAACTATATGATTGCTGTTTGTCAAATTGGCACCAATGTACACAGTTTAATAAATTTTATTGGCTCACCATATGTTTGACATATAAAAGGTAGATCCTAGAAGTAGGGAAACAGCTGAGTAAAAAGTACCTTTAGATGTTGCTGACGTGCCCCTTTTGAGTATTTTTATTGACTTTTGAGGTTCTCCTATGTTGTGTTTTGCAGACACTGAAGCCCTTGACCTCATGGAAATGAGTCTCCTGAACTCTCTTGATCAATGATGAACGTTGCGTGCCCCTGTGCGCCGGAGCCTGTGAATCCCTGCCATGTGAGTCACAGCGGACGCATGTGCTGTGCAAACACTTGTTCGAATAGCATTAGAGGCCACATACACAGATTAGCAGCTGGGGACTTAAAGATTTCTCTCAGCCGTTACATGAAAATCTCAGACCAGAGTGACTCTGGGTCTCGTAAGAAGAAGAGGTTGAAGAAATAGTTGTTAGGCAGAAAAATAGCAGGAAAGTTAATGTTATGTGCAATTTCTATTAGTAAACTTTTTTAGATTTTGGCAAGTGGAAAAAAAAAGAGAAAAAATTCCCCAGTGACAGCTGATTATAAGACTAAGACACAAACAACACCTGGCAGGTGCTTAATTATTCAATCAAGATCTGTCAGCCTTTTGTGGCCTATCAGCCGGTTTGTAGCCTCATTAACTACGACGCTAATGTTGGTTTTCTATTCAGTGCCCTGATTTCATGCAGATTAGAATATCTCAACATTGGCATTGAATTTTTAAGCGTTTTCCTCTGAAGCCACAAACATGAGCTTCGTGTTTTTAGTTTTAGTTAAATATCCTAGCATCTATCAGCAAGGCTGTGGGAAGGTGGGATGCCACAGTACTCCCTATCACAAAAGGCAGACATCACAGGACGGTCAAACGCTCCCAAATATAGACAACAAAACTTATAAACAAAAAAACCCACATCTTTATTGGGGCAAGAGTCCAAAACTCCAGACTGCAGATGAGGGGAAAACTCACCGGCAGATAAAAAGCTCAGACAGTCAGTGTTACAGAATAAGAACACAAGCAGTTTGAGGGTTTAATTATACAAAAGGGAAGATGGGAAACATCAGGGGAACACAGCTGAAGGTAATCATGGAAGAGAAGTCGAGGGACTATCAAAAAGAAAAGTCAAGAACAAACTCGGCAGAAAATGTATAATAATAAACAAAAGAACAGATAAGAGCGTTTACATTTTTTTATACACTATTGCTGATGTCATTTATTTAAGAAGTAGTGATTTTGTTTTTCACCAGCATCATGGTGAAATGATGTTATCCAGTAGTAACCAGTAGTTAAAAATGGTGCATTTTTTAAAATGAGCGATCAGCGGAGATCTATCACAACCCATTAGAGTAATACAAAAACATGATTTTTTTTAAATTTTTTTAGCACATTAAGTAGCTTCATCCCTTTGAAAACTCTTAGAATTGTCACACGATGCATGATAGACACACCTTTCCCCAATGATTGTTATACGCTATGCAACTTCGGCTTTTGATCTGGTAAAATATATCAACAATGAGGGTTGTTTTATGCTTTGTTTTGTTTGTTTCTTAAGAGACTGTAGTTTCAAGACTGGCCTACTTTTTAATGGTTTCATGATCAATTTTCTCACCTGTTTATGAGCCTAATGTTTGCAGGTTGAACAGTTTGCAGACAAAGTTAGGGAAGGACTGCTGAGATGGTTTGGACATGTACAGAGTTGGGAGAGTGGATATGTCGGTCAAAGGATGGATTTATGGATGTAGTGAAGGAGCACATGCAGAGGGTTTGTGTGAGGCAGGGGTGAGGTGGAGGTAGATGATCTGCTGTGGTGACCCCAACAGGGAGCAAATGAAAGAAGAAGAATTTAATGATACGGATTTAAGTGGTGTTGTAAAATTTCTTGTACTCTTGTGAACAAAATCTGTTGAACTACTAAAGTATTTCATACACCTGGCTGACCTCTAAGCTCCACAGCACTTTTATCTTCTCTTTTATTTCTCCCTATAAATGATTTAGGTTCTACTTTAGGAACTTTTTGTACTTATTTTTTCCCTCCTATTTTCAGTATTACCCCAATATATCAGTATTATGTCTCGCTCATAAATATGTTCAGGTTCTGGTGAATTGAGACAACTTTTGCGCTGTTTCTGCACAGAAATTCAAAGTCAGGCAGTTTCTTTACATGATGTTGCCTATCCTTTGCTGCTATCAGAATAAATGGGGATTACCTCCAACAGATCACATTGTGTCACAGCATCCTCTTCATAAGCAGCTCAATGCAAAAGCGTGTCAGTTATATAGGTTACTGTGATAATGGTTTGGATCCTTTATTATATTATTACTTTTTTATTAAACAAGGTAGTGTTAGTAAGCAGGCAAAAAATATTGAATTATATATTGCTTTTTACACCCAGGAATTGCAAAGTACATTAAACAATCTAAAGCAGCATTTTGAAAAGAAAACAGGACATAAAAGTTCACAAAATTTGATGTACAAGTCTTTTGGAGTAAAGTTACAATAGAACACAGAAAATAAAATTGGTGGTTAATATTTGTGCAAGAGTTGAAAACCTGAAAAGTAAATGTCATAAAAGCAGGACTGCTGCAAACACTTGATTAAATTGTCAGAGTAAACAGGGATGTCTTTCGCTGCCTTTTCACAGATCAACCTCAGAGGTTTTAGAAACGTAAGCGGAAAACTAAACTAAAAACTAAAACTGAGTGAGGAAAATATTTTAGCGAACTGGAATATTAGTAAAAACATAAACAGTGTGTGTACTTACAAAATTTAAATAACATAAAAATACACAAGAAATTTATTTGGTTTCTTTATTTTTTTTGTCAACATATGTCAACAGAAATCAGCCTGTTAATGCTTTTAGTAGTGTATAAGTAGCTTTAAATGTTGTATAACTTCAGGTATTTCACAGGAAAGGAAACAAATTAATCTGGGAGTAATTTAAGTACTCTTTCATTTTAAGGTAATTTTGCAGTAAAACAAACAATTTCTTCATCTTACATTGTAAATACACTGCATTTTTCAGGACAGTTGAATAATAGAACATCCGTCACGCACAATAACATAATGAATACTAAATAAAGATGTAAAAAAAAAAAAATAAAAATGGGGAAATAGTGTTTGTTCTTCTGCAAAAATAACATGAAATTCCATGTGCATTACTTAAAACAACTTGCACAGTACTTACATTTACATAACAGTCTAGTAAGTTCCTTTTTCCTGTAAAAACTTCACTAAGGACCCCTTTATTCTAGTTTGCCTACTTTTCAGGAGATATAATCACATGTAACTTCAAATAAAATGCATTGAAATTCATCTGATTACAGTGGGATTACGCCCTTAGTTGCTGGCTGTATTATAAAGTGAGACAAATTTTTACAATGGAAGAGTCACCTTCTCCATGACATTACATCATAGTTTTTCCAAATGTACCTTTGCATTACTTACTGTACCTTATTTATTTTCTTTTTATTGTTTAATTGTATTTATATCTTTACTAAGTCCCGTTCCTGTTTTTTATTACATTTTTTCTCTTTCACTCTTAAAAAAGAGAGAAAATGTGTTTGAATAAATACTTATAATTAAAATAAAATTTAAATAAAAACTAGTGGAAAAATGTGAGGCCACGATGACTCCAGTCCACATTGTAAAGTCAGGTGGAGAGCTAAGTGTCTGTGTTTGGGACGGTTGCCAGATTGGCACCCTGTGGTTCTGGATTAGAAGCTCTGTCTTGGTCTAAGCTGAACATATTGTGACTGGTAATTACTTGTATATCAACTCTATTGCCCTTCAGTAGCTTCACTTCACCACATGAAGCTTATTTTTTATGTGAATATAATCAGACTTTAATACAGTTTTCTTTGCGGTCTAAATAAATGTTAATAGATTTATTAGTGCTCCAATGGGTATTTAGTAGATTTAGCCCCTCCCCCGTGACATGGTTTATCTTCATCACTCACATCCTCTGGGTCATTGTGTTTCTTCTCTGGCCACACAGGCTATTTATATTACTAACGTGTTTGTTTTTCCTCAGAATGAATTAGCAGAGAAGCAGTCATCTTAGTTTTATTTCTCCATTCGCCCACCTCATTCATCCTGCCTTTATTAATTCAAACCAATCTATTTGTTTTCTAACAGCTCCAAACCTCGCCTTGTTTAATTACCTTGTGTCACTCATACTCTAGTAGTTTTTCTGTGTGTGCTATAGTCAGTACAAAATACAAACCTTTAAAGACTAACAATTCCTCTTCTATAGTTCCTTAAACAAAAAGGCCACTTTAAACACGTATCCCACTATATGTAACAGCCACATCACCTTTAATATAAATGAGTACAAAAACAGTAAGACAGCCTCATGTGGAAGGAAAATCATAGCTGCAACAACTATGCCTCGTACTTAAGCGATGGGATTATCCCCAGGAATCCCAGTAAGCCTTTAACAGCCCCTATCAGACCCTTTAAACTCTGCACCCGCCCCCTGTTTCCTTCACTGGTTGAACCACAGGACTGTGTGTCTCGGCTCTGAAAGGACTGATGGTGATCAGACTTTTTGTTCACCTCCTCATATTAGATCTCAGACCTCTTACGGCTCCTAAAACCCATCACGAACTATAACACGTCTCTGATCTAGTTTATTTAAGTGTGCAATATGAAATGTGTCTGGTGTACACAGTCTCTGCAACTTTTATAGTGATTTTTATGGCACACAGCTCTACCACAAATGCAGTCCATTGCCCTTTGAGATCAGTGGAGCTTTTTGAAGCTATAGACTGACATGTTTTCATTAGGAATGAGTGGAGGCTCAAACAAAGCTAAAACAGAGTCTACAATTCAACATGAATCTAAAAGAATGATAATAATGATAATACTGCTCTGTATTGGTGGGAGTTAGCCAAAAATGTTCACCATAACAGCTTTGTAGGTGATAAGAAGCCTAATGTTTGTGTCAGGACAGCTTAGATTTGCTCCTAAATGCTCCAAAAATAAATGAACGCAGTCATAACTTCAATCTTACGCACCTGTAAAAATACTGTAGATGGTTTGTAATAAATTGGGGTTGATGATGGCAGCACAGGCTGACAACAATATAAACTTAGATATCTTTTGTGTACATTGCTAATGCTGACATACTCTCGTGTTGGCAACTGTTAGTCTTCAAAAATCATCCATGTTTCAGCTCGTTTCAGACTGGGGGAAGCAGCAAATCAAAGGAAAGCTGGCTTAAAATGAGAGGAAGTGCCTATTTTGAGTAGAGTTAATAGTATAGAGGTGGAAAAAAGCATAATATATCATAATGAATTAAAAGTAGACGTTGTTTTTTCTTGGTCTCAACCCCACGTGGCAAAGAACATGAAAAACTTGTGTATCCTGTTTTTTCCCCCCTCATCTGTTCTCTCATCTCGTTATCCAAAAAAACCTGTTGAACAGTCTTTGTTTTGGTGACTTTCCCTCAAACTGTGTGTATAAAAATGTGTAATTCATACATACGAAGTAGATGCAGTCTGTTGTCTCAAAGTTAATGTGATGTCTGTGACTGGTTTCATTTTAGAGCCCTCATATGGTGACTTCTGATGACCTGGAATCAACACGAGGCTGAACCATGGTCATTCTGCAACAGGTGGGTCCTGTACCAAATGGTTCTGAATGTCTTCCAACCTCTTTGTCCTGTCCGTGTATTAAAAGTAAGTTCTTAAGTTCGTTTCTGTACAAACGTTCTGTGGGAATTATGGATGGACATTAATGTAAAAAGTCAGGTAATATTTTTTCCTTTGCTGATATTTATTATTTTTAAACTTAGGTGGAGTTTCTGTTGGTGTCCATGTTGTAATGGGACCTGGTTAGACATTGACATCAGCAGTTTATTTGTTGTAGCAGAGAGGCACAGATTTTACTTTGAAGGAAATGAGTCTCAGTTTCTGGTTTGTATCACACTTTTTGCAGTTTCCCTACCTCTCTGCGAGTATTTGGAGAGTATTTGCACCCAAGTTGATAACAAAAAATATATTGGAGAACAAAGCAATTACAAGGAACTTTTCAATGCATTACTCGCCAAAAGATTTTTACGTAGCGACCAGTGGACCAGTGTTTTTACCAGTGGAGAAAATTTTTTTTGCATGGATCCATAAGTCAAAAGTTTGGGTTACTATCTCAAAATTTTGAGAAAATAATTTGAAATTTCAAGTTATTTCATATCAGATGCTTTAATTGTCTGAGGTCTAAGTCTTCTTAGATGCTGACTCTACCATAATATTATTTTTTAGAGAAAGGCTAAACAGACTAGTGTTTTTAATTCTTTTTGTTTGTCATTGATTTTATTTTTTGTCTAATCGCAGAGACTCAGGAGAAGTTATTTTTGCTGAGAGTTAGAGTTGAGGTTAGGGTGATCACGCTTCAGTGCATTTGTATTATGATGGTTTCTTTTGATTTTCCACTGAGGTACAGAGCTTTCCCTAATGACTTAAGCCTCTGCCATAACCACAAACTTGATACACAGTATTCTGTGTTTGATTATTTAAGAAGGGAAAATTAAACTCAATTTTGTAAGGGCTCAGAAGTCAGTAGGTGAATATCTGAGCACAACAGCACTTTTTTACTGTCTGTCTGAAGGATCATTTGGGATTTATTGAAGGAGGGCGGAAGGTTACTGAACTCGTTCATTTTCTTCTTCCATATTATTATTATGAGAGGCCATAATCGTTACATCAACCTTGCCAGTGCCTCTGTTCATAAAAGATCGGCTTAAAATCCAGATTGTGGCTCTACTACTTTAACACAAAAAGCATAGTTTAGGTCTCTTTAGCATCAACTCATGCAAGTAGGTCAGTTTAACCTGACATTTTAGTGTCTTATGGGAATGTTTGTTTGTTATGGTGGGCCAGCCAGCAGGTTTAATGATTTTAAATTAAATTAAAATGTAAAAAGAAACAACCGAAAATCAAATTGTGAGCAAGAATGATTTATTCAGCATGAGCTCCACAGTCCTGACACACTAAATATAGAAAAAGCTGGGCAGTTACCTCATATCAGACCATCAATAGTTTCCCTTTCAATAACTAGATGCCAGTGCCTTTCTCCCCCGAGAGTCCTGCAGGGCACGACTCAGACACTCCTGCACCGTTTCAATCTCAGCTCAGAGCCACGGCTATGAATCTCATTCGAGTGGGAGACATCTGGATGTTGTTAAATGGAAGCAAAAATAGCATCTTTAAGGTCACAGTCTAGACTGTGGGGATGAACGCTGAGCATCGTGCTGCAGTGTTATGATGAGGTTTATACCAGCTCCCCTTCTGATTTACATCTAAATGACACCTCGTGTTTGTCATTCATTGGCAAAACACAAAATGACCTCTGTGCTGACACGTCTAAGATGATAAATGCACTTTTTAGGGTCGGCTGTGTTCATCTCCAGGGGGCTTGCTTTTCATAGTATGTCTAATGGCACAGTCAGTGCCATGATTGGTTGACTGTTTTGTAGATTTTTAATACCTCCTGTAGCAACCTGCTCAGTCATGGTTTTTGCTAAGTGTTGGTTCCACCTCAGGAAAATTAAGCCTTATTTGTTGTTACGTAGGGTTACCTAAGTCTCAGTGTTACATCATGGCCTTCCTGGTGGATGTGGTCAAGTTTAAATCCTTTTTTCAGGCTAAATCCTCAAAAATGTAACTAGTTGGCAGCTGAAAAACTGGGTAACTGGGTGTGTGGTGCAACTGATATTTCCTGGTTATCCAACATGTATATTCAAATAGTTGAATGCAGACAAGGAGACCATAACAAATGTCACGTACAGCTAAGGCACATGCAGCTCATCAGGTTTTGCAGCTGTTACGGGGAAAACCTGATGTTTTCTGCTCAAATTTCAAAATAACATCTAGGAATAAAAAGAGTTAAAGTATAAGTATGAGATAAGAAATTATATGATTACAAACAGTTGACATCTTTGGTTACAGAATTTTTTTAACAAGTGCTCTGAACTTCCCCAGGGAGATAAAAAAAATCATTCAGCTTCAGTTTACTCTGATATTATGATGTTATTCTATTACTTCCTGCAGTCTTTAACTAAAGTTTTGTAATCCAGGGGGACTATGTGTGGCTGGATCTTAAAACGGGCCGGGAGTTTGACGTCCCCGTGGGAGCCGTGGTCAAACTGTGCGACTCTGGACAGATCCAGGTTCTGGATGATGAAGGCCGGGTAAGTTTGCAGAAAAGCAGGAAGGACCTGAAAGCAGTACTCCAAGGTAGACTACATAAACAAGAGAAACTAGAATTTAGGTTTTTCAAATATGAAAACAAGGGAGACTGCGTAGATACTGTGATAAGGACTGAAAGTGGACTGACGCTATATACACACCTATATACACACACAGAGCGAGGACTTGATGACAGGATACGACAAAAACCAGAGAACACAAGTAATAAGAACTAAAGGCCAAAAACAGAGGAAAAAAATCTGAAATTTATAAACTAAGAGCTCTAAACGCACAAGCTTAGATTCTAAATAAATCACGAATAGTTAACAATAGACCTGAATTCAGAGTCCAAAACTCAGACTGTGTTTTGCTGTTGCACACTTGTATTGTATTAGACCATTAAACCTAATCTGCGTCCAATAATATGTAATGCTTTTCATGATCATGGGTTTTAAATGGTTTGAACTTTTTTGAGTATTTGCTTCATTCTTAGTTCACTTATTACTTTCGTTTTTCTTCATGTGTTCCCTTAGTATTTTGAGCCCTTGTTTCTTAGTTCGAGCTTCTGTTTGTATTAGAGTTTGATCCATCAGTTTCTCGCTTCATGTTCAGTGTTTCTATTTAGTTTATGTTTTACTTAGTCTCCCATGCATTGTCTCTAGTTTCTGTCATTTAACTTAATTGTGTTCAGTTGTGTTTAGTTCCCCTCCTGTTTCCACTTACCTCCTTGTGTCATGTGTATTTTTAGACTTAGTTTGCCTGTGTTCTTTGTTACGTTGTACTGTGTTCTGATCTCTTGTTTCTAGTGTGTTCCCGATATGGTTTCCTTTGGCTTTTGAACTTTGTTTTGTCTTTTTTTAAGTTTTTTTTTGTTTTGTTTTTTGTTTTTCATTCCCCGTCTAAACACCACTGTACCCTCAATCTGTTTATATGACAGGTACCGTAGAGATTTTTTTGTCCTTTTAAAATGACACAAAACTGCCAATTAATTCTTTCCGTCAAAGAAGGATGAGTCAGTGTGACTTCATGTGGCTTTTGAGGCCTTTGTTCCTCTAATCTGCTTCCTCATTCCTCACCAATGCAGGAGCACTGGATTTCCCCTCAAAATGCCACCAACATCAAACCCATGCACCCAACCTCCATACATGGGGTGGAGGACATGATCCGTCTGGGTGACCTCAATGAAGCTGGCATCCTCCGTAACCTGCTAATCCGCTATAATGAATGCGTCATCTACGTAAGTTTCCCTTTGTGGCACCAACGCAGCTGCATTTACGATCGCCTGAGGTGCAATTAGTTTCTGTAACTTCCAGGCCTTTTACTCGCGTGTTCAGCAAAGCAGTAACCACTGGCTTTGGCCCAGTTAAGGTCTTATTCAGGTTAATCTGTTTACTTGTATCTTAAGCGCCCAGCAACAGCAGCATTTACTTGTTGCTATAAATAAAACAGAACGTCCCTTCCTTGCTGTTTGACCGGAGGTTCACCGATAGAAACAGGCATTTGTACTTGTAAAACACCCAATCTTAGAAATGCTAGTAAGTCAAAGTTAAGACCACTAAATAGGAATAATAGAGACATTATTTTTATAATCATCTCATATATTTTGGAGAGCATAAAATTTTGTTTTATACCATGTCAGTAGTGTTTGATTCACATATTTTGTCCCTGAGTTTTTGATCTATCTCATGTTTAAAACATCGACTTTCGTCTGTCTTTGGGTATCTGCAGACGTATACAGGCTCAATACTGGTAGCAGTCAACCCTTACCAGCTGCTGCCCATCTATACTCCAGACCAGATCCGCCTCTACACCAATAAGAAGATCGGCGAGATGCCGCCGCACATATTCGCCATCGCAGACAACTGTTACTTCAACATGCAGCGGAACAACAAGGACCAGTGCTGCATCATCAGGTTTGTGCTTGATCATTTCATAAGAACTCAAAGTGATGGACGTGCGCCATTTCTAAACAGGAAAAACTCTGCAGTTAATCTGCAAGCCTCTGTTGGTTAAAAAGGCTGGTCATAGTTAGTATCCTTTGTGTGCTGCTGCTGTTTGAATAGTTTATTTGTAATGAAATCATCATGTTTATTGCATGACTGTGTCACTGTTTTCTTTATGAGGCAGCGGTGAGTCTGGAGCTGGGAAGACTGAGAGCACAAAGCTGATTCTGCAGTTCCTCGCTGCCATCAGCGGGCAGCACTCCTGGATAGAGCAGCAAGTCCTAGAAGCCACGCCTATCCTCGAAGGTAAGCATTAAACTCCAAAAAAGATCACCTTCAGTCCACGAATGGACAGTGAACATGGAAGAAAGTGTCATGGGTCACCTTCATCGTCTGGTTTGTCAATTTCTTCAGCTTTCGGCAATGCCAAGACAATTCGAAATGACAACTCCAGTCGCTTTGGGAAGTACATAGATATCCACTTCAACAAGCGAGGGGCCATTGAAGGAGCCAAAATAGAGCAGTACCTGCTGGAGAAGTCCCGCGTGTGTCGACAGGTGAGAAACCAGATCCAGATTAAATATGTTAAATCTTTCACAACTCCAACCACAATTAGTCAACATTTGTAGACAGATGGATGGTAAGCAATGATCTAGACCTGAGAATGCAGTTTGGGATGGGCCTGAGTGAAGATTGATGGCTGCTCCTGGGTAGAGGTTATCTGACAGCGAGTCTAGCAGTTTAGCAGTTGTGATCCTGCTTTTGAACCTTAGATAAATACAGTTTAATATTTTTTTACAAAATCAAAAGTCTGACATCAATGACAGACATACAGTCTCAAGTTTATATGATGACTGCTTTTACTACTAAAATAAATGAAACATTAGCCAAATAATAAACAAATAGAGAAGATATTGTGCACATATTTGCAATAAATATTGAAGAATTAAATTATTAATTTAACTAAAACTGCAAGACGTTGGATGGTGATTTTGTTTGTTTGGGTTTGTGATTATTTTCAATTTATTTAAATTCAGTTTTATTAATATAGCTCCAAAGCACAGCAACCGTTGCCTAAGTTGTTGTAAGGTAGTAAGATAAAGACCCTACGATAGTAGAAAGAAAACACAAACAATCAGACAATCAGAAAAACTCCCTTTTAACAGGAGGGAGTCTCACCTGTCTTAATGTTTCACTAGTTTGTGATTTATTATTTGTTTATACAGCAGCTGCCTCCACTTTGGTGCTCACAGGAGTTGTTATATTTAATGGTAAATGGTAAATGGCCTGTATTTGTATAGCACTTTTACTAGTCCTGCCTAGGGACCCCAAAGCGCTTTACACACCCAATCATCCACCCATTCACACACACATTCACACACTGGTGGAGGCAAGCTACAATCAAACTCTTCACAGCTGAATCAAAGTGTGTAATTAGTCATTTATGTATCATTAATTAAACAGGGGCAGATGAACCATTCAGTCTCCCTGCATATGTGGACATATTACATACAAAAAAAATAAATACTGGTCCAAGATTAATAATATATACTCTTTATGATACGTAAACAGTATCACGTAGATGCTGCTTACATGTGCATAGCATATTGTGTGTCGGACATACAGGGTTTGCTTCTTTCTTGCTCCTGCAGGCTCCAGATGAGAGAAACTACCATATTTTCTACTGCATGTTGAAGGGCATGGCTCCTGAAATGAAGTCAAAGCTGGGCCTGGGCCTTGCCACAGACTACTCCTACCTCACTATGGTGAGTCTCGCCAGTTAATTACTCATTTTTAGTGATAAAAATGAGTAATTAAGAAATCGATGTACCCATCATACAGCTGAGTTTAGCACTTTGAACATCACTGTGTTGTTTGTTTATAACAGGGTGGACTACTGCAGTGCTCTGCTATCTGCTCTATTAAAAATGTTTTTAATTAACCTCAGTATATTTCAAACCTCTACAGTCTGAGTGTTTACTGGGCCTGGAAGGAGAGAACACACTGGTGCCTTTCAGCTTACATGTTGCTTTTAAAATCACTCTCTTGTCTTTAAAGCTCTTTATGTTCTTGCTCCAGTATGTAGTGCACCCTCTCTGGTCCTCCACAACCAAAGGATTAACAAAGTGTTATTTTAGTAAAAGAAAAAATTACCAATCATAATAAAGTATGTCTCAATTAATGCATGAGGTTACAATAAAAACAGTGAGTGGAAAAAGACTGTGCCCTTGTGTCCTGATGGTAAAATGAAGCTAAAGTACAGAAACATAAATGGTGCAGTAAATGTGCACAAAGCTTCAGGGATCATAAGTAATATAATAATAATGTAAAGTTAATTTACCGTTTCCGATAAAGAGCAGCACGTAGCTGCTTCCCAGAGCATTTCACTCAGAGCTGTCAGGTGAAACCCATTAAGCCACATTGCAGTTACCTGGAGCCGCTGGCCTGGTTCTGCTCATAAACAGCAGACCTGAACTTGGATTTCTTTTATATCACAGGGTAGCTGCACAAAGTGTGACGGTCGTAACGACCTGAGTGATTATTCCAGCATCCTGTCAGCCATGAAGGTTCTCATGTTTACCGAGACGGAAACCTGGGAGATTTCCAAGCTTCTGGCTGCCATCCTGCATATGGGAAACCTGCGATTCGAGGGTGCGTGAATACACAAATCTGAAGCATCAATCAGAAAATTTGCAAACTTTACAAACCAGTGAAGAAAACGATGTTCTGTCTTGCTTCCCTCAGCTCGTACCTATGATAATTTGGACGCCTGTGTGGTTGTGAGATCTCCTGACCTGGTGACCGCTGCGTCGCTTATGGAGGTCTGTAATTGTTCTCACACACATGATTGACACACAACCATTTTACTGTTCTTCCTTAGAAAAGAGAGGCTTTAAATCTTTTTCAAATTGATATCTGGCAGTTTTTTTGGTGATGCTTTTGTTGGTCGTTGTGAACCGTAGGTGGAGCCTAAAGATGTGATGGTGTGTTTGACGACACGAACCCTCATCACACGTGGTGAAAGTGTTGTCACCCCTCTAAGTGTGGAGCAAGGCCTGGATGTCAGGGACGCCTTTGTTAAGGTACCGATTCTGTCCTGTTTTAGAGGTAATACACGTAATCACCGAGTCTTTCACAGATCATGTTGTGATTGTCCTCCAGACAATCCAACTTCTTCTTTCTACGAGTCTGTCTTTCTGCAGACACACTCTACAGCTATAGCTGGTAACAGAGTCCTTGACTTACTCTCCAGGAGATCTGCTGTGAGCTAAAGAGCCAATTTAGCCATTACCTGCAAGTTGGAGAGCTCGTTCATGTACAACTATGCAAGACTCACTTATTCTGCAGAGCAGGCGAGAATTTAAGACCCTAGATAATATTACAAGGCATGGACATTTGTTATCACTGTCATAATGGTTTTATGGAGCTTGGTTAGGAGAGCCTGGACAGGTGCGATGCACACACAGACCTGGAAGGTGCTGGCTTACCTTAAAATGTGTCCCTCCACTTACCCCCCTATGCTGGTGGATGGGACACTGCTTGTTATTTCTACACCTTTGGTGGTAATTGTGTAACATTTTCCCATTCCTAATAACTATGAAGTATTTATGTTGGAGTGAAGTCTGGGAAAGGGTCTGTGGGAAAATATTTTTGGGAGTCTCCGAACCTTAATGACGTTAATGACGTTGCCGTACAACGAAGCCAATGATGGTGATGAAGAATCACACTTAGGAGGCGGTGAGTGAGTCTGCTTCAGCAAAGTTCATGAATTCTGTCATCCAGGGGATCTACGGGAGGTTGTTTATCTGGATAGTGGATAAGATTAATGCTGCCATATTCCGACCTCCTTCCTGCGAGAGTACCATCATCCGAAGATCCATCGGTTTGCTGGACATCTTTGGCTTTGAGAACTTTATCGTCAACAGGTGAGAAGTTGTGTAAAAGAGTGTTTTTGTAGATCATTTATGCTACTTTATTAGTTTAACGCTGTCATCTTTTTTTTCCACTGTAGTTTTGAGCAGCTGTGCATCAACTTCGCCAACGAGAACTTGCAGCAATTCTTTGTCCGCCACGTCTTTAAACTGGAGCAGGAAGAATACAACCTGGAGGACATCAGCTGGCAGCACATTGAGTTCACAGACAACCAGGATGCATTGGACATGATCGCCAACAAACCCATGAACATCATCTCCCTCATAGATGAAGAGAGCAAGTTTCCCAAGGTGCAACAGATATTTAGTAGATACTTGTAAAGATAAGTCTTACTGAATTTGGCTTTGATTGATGTGCGTTTTTTTATTTTTTTCAGGGAACTGATGCTACGATGCTGTATAAGCTCAACTCTCAGCACAAGCTCAACTCCAACTACATTCCTCCTAAAAACTGCTACGAAACCCAGTTTGGTATCCAGCACTTTGCAGGAGTGGTACATTACGAGACCAGAGGTACGTCCCTGTTCATCAGATTTTTTCTGTTTGTGTTGGTTTGTCTGATTTAAACTTATATTGAAGCAATGGTTTTTATTCTCTCACTGATACGTTTAAAAATGCCAGCAGGAATCGGCTGTACTGAACAGACCAGTCACAAAAGTTGCATAGACCTGACGTGTAGTTACATTTCTAGGGAGGTGCACATCAGGTTACAACGTTGATTTCCCGCTGAAGCATAAATTTCCAGTAACTCCAGACCCTAATTTGGCCTTTGAAGGTTGTTTTTCCGAGTCTTTCAATCAAGTGGGTGAAATAAACATTCTATCAAAAGGTCATTCAGAAAAGTTAGCAGCAGGCACACTGAGAGGATATTGATTCTGAAATCAACCTGTCCTGACAGGATTTTTCTTGTTTCCTCAAAACAAATGTGTTCTTCCCGAGTTATTACTTTTAAAAGGTCAGTAGGGAAAGTTACCAGCAGGCACATTAAGATGATATTGATTAAAAAATAACTTGAAGAAGTTTTTTCTGAGGAAGCACAGACAGTTCGGATGAGGGTCTCATGGAGGGTGTTTGGCTACAGCAGTCTTAACAGATGCTTCATCACATCTGACCAGAGCTCTCCCCTCTCAGGCTCTTACAGCTGCTGGAGAAACTAATCATTATCACATACTCTGAGCTGGTCCAAAAATGAACACTTTGTTTCACAAGATTCACTCGGAATTACATTAAAGAGGATATTAAGGATAAATATCGGTTTCAATCAGAAATTCTTCATCTGCAAAAATCAAAGCAAGAATTTAGAGTTTAGATGCCAGAAGAATAGTTACAAAGAAATCATTTAAGCCAGATGTTCCGGTCTTAAGGGAAGCGATTCACTCATCAGGCATCGTTTTGATGCTGGGAGTCGGCTCTGGTTGCCTGGTAACCATCTAACATGTCTACCAACTTGTCATAAGTTAATGTCATATCCTTCACACTCATTGGTAGTTGAGAAAAGTTTAAAAGGGCATCCACACAGGAAGTGACTAGCAGCAATGTAGCGTCCAGAGTAGGGATGGGTATCGTTTAGGTTTTATCCGATACTGGTGCCAAACCGGTACTTTTGAAACGGTGCCGGTGCTTAAACGGTGCTCGAACCGGTGCTTAAAGAATGGAAAACACAAACTTGTCCAAAAACCTCTTATGTTTAGCTGTTTGTTTGTAAAAAAATAACAATGTTAGCCTTTTCTGCAGCTATAGGTCATATATGGTATCACTCTTGGCTGGAAGCAGTGCTTAAACAATGGAAAAAACACATACTTTGTCCAAAAACCTCTCATTTTTAGCTGTTTTCCACTTTTTCTTTGGTAATTTTAGCCTTATTGGCCAGAGTGAAGGGAGTATCTGCCATCAAACAAGAAGACAGCCGCATGTAACTACGATGGTGTTTGCTAGTTCACCTTATGTGCATTATTTTAATAACGTGATTAGCCTACTCAACATAAATTACACACGAACAACATTAAGCTACTGACCCAGAGAAGAACGGCTGCTGCTGCCATCATCATCCGTCATCATTTCTGCTACACTGGCAGGGCTAGGGGCCAGGACTCTACTCTTCGGGTTCTTGGGGGGATGTTACTAACTCCGGTTCTGATAACAGGCACCACACCGGCAGTAGATGTGCCGGTGTGAGGTCTCACAGCAAGCTATCAAATACGGCGCATTTCTCGGCTTAAAAAAAACCTGCTATGCGTCACCAGGTGTTTCATCAGATTCGAGGTGTTACCTCCTTTGCACAGTATCAGCTTAAAGCACTTGTTGCAGGCTGCTGAGTTTGCATCTTTTGCTGTGAAGTACAGCCAGAATTTTGACCGCTTCGCCTTGGGCATTTTTAAGCTGTAGTTCTGCTCTAAAAGAACGTACATACCTGGGCCCGCCTACTATCCTTGGAAAGGTAAAATGATTGGCTAGAATCCAAAGTGTATGACATCTCAGGAAAAAAAGCACTGAAATGTGCGCTGCTTTTTGGTCTGGTTACTACCGTTTATGTCAGAACCGGTGCCAACAATGGCAGGGCTACAGACGAAAGGTAAAAGCAGCATTACCTTAGAGGGGTTTACCTCTGACAAACATCTGGCAGACAGTCTTAACAGTTTTTACCTTCGTTTTGAGAACTATGATTGTTCTAGGCAGACCAGCACACTGAGGGAAAAGACCATCACTCCCCCATCTACTTGTATTGATGAGACAGGGGTAGCTAATCTTTTTAGACATACCAAAAGCAAGAGTCCTGGACCTGACAACATCTGTGGACAGGTACTGAGAACTTGTGCTGATCAGCTGAGTGGGATTTTTCACTATATCTTCTCACTTTCTTTAGAGCTACAGACAGTACCTAAAATTTGGAAACATGCTGTCATTGTTCCTGTTGCTAAGGGCAGTTCTCCTAAGGCACTGAATGATTTTAGGCCTGTGGCTCTGACTTCTTTAGTGATGAAGACATTTGAGAAGATAATTAAGAAGGAGATTTTAATGCATGTTGAACACCATCTTGACCCCTTCCAGTTTGCCTATAGAGCAGGGAGAGGTGTGGAGGATGCTGTTGTCACACTCCTGCATCTCTTGTATAAGCATCTTGAGGCCCCCCACACCCATGCAAGACCCATGTTTATTTGTCCTGTGTGGCTGGTTCCGGTGTGGATTAACTATTTTTTTAATTTTAACCTCCTAGGACCTGGCGTCCACATATGTGGACATCCCATTTTGGGTTATTTAGACCAAAATACTCAATTTTGCTCCACTTACGAGGACATTATATGCTACTGTTCTATCGAAATTTTAAATGAATATCCTCATACGTGGCTCTCATTTTTCTTAGAAACAAAAATCAGGTAAAAAAAAATCTGGTAATTCTTTGTTTTTACATTCATTGGTTCCCAATATGCCCAAATATCAAAGAGAAATGAAAAATGCATGCCGTGGAAGAGTTCGGGTCCTAGGAGGTTAAGTTTAACAACTTAACCTCACTTTGTTTAATGTCTCTAAGCTACAACATGCAGACCAACTTTGAACAGAATTCACTAACATGTCGTTTCATCCTCAGGAAGATATCCCTTGGTTTGTTTGGAAATTGATGTGAATGCAAAACCTAAACTTCTCTTAAATACACGTATTGCAACTTGAGGTGACTGTTGTGATTTGGTGCTATATAAATAAAATTGAATTGAATATTGCTCATGCACGATACTGTGCTGCTGTATGAAGTTTAGCTTGTTCCTTTAAAATCATTGCATTCTCATTTAATCTGAAAAGGTCATTCAAGAAAGTTAGCAGTTGTCACACTTACAGAAGATATTGATTAAAACGTTTCAGTTCAATTTAGTGTTGAAAACATGACCAAAATATAGTGATTTTTTTTTGTAAATAAATTTCTGTGCAAAAATCAGTGCAGTAAAAATGTTGATTCAAATAAGATATAATCAGTCCACTGTCTTGCTTTTTCTCACTACGCCCTCCTTTCAGGCTTCCTGGAGAAAAACCGAGACAGCCTCCACACTGACATCATTCAGCTCGTCCACTCGTCCAAGAATAAGTTCATCAAGCAGATCTTCCAGGCTGATGTTGCCATGGTGAGACCAACAAATGCATTAAAATCATGACACTGTATGTTGTATCTTTTTTCTGTTTTTTTATTTGGTTATTTGGGTTGGTAAATAATCGATATTCACTTTATTTATTATTTTGGCTTTGAGCTGGAAGAAATTATTACTTTCTTGGATTAATTTTCACTACAAAGCTTATGAAGGCTTTTACAGCAGCGCACCTTCACGCCTCTCGAAGAGTTCAGCCTGACCGATTGTTTGTTCAGCTTGAGCTACAATGACAGAAAGAGAGCCTTTGGTCAAGAGGAGTAGGTAGAAGAAGTAAAAGACATTAAGCCTGAGCAGGTGCCTTTGTTTTACCCGGCCCCTGTCAGCAACATGAGACTGTGGCTTTCCATCACTCTCCCACTGCACAGATCTCCCACGATGTGCACATCTGCCACCCCCTGTCTTTGGTGTGGCTGCAGCTTTGCAGGGACTGTGAGTTGCCCTTGTGAGGCAAGCTTAAAGGTCCTAGCTCCCTACCTGATGACCCGATGTCCCACACCGCATCCACCTCTCTCTTTATTAATTTGTTTTAAAGATTTATAAATTGCATGATGTTTAAGCTTGTAAGTAATTAGATTAACCATGTACTTATGAAATTACAATATTGATCAAAATGATCATGAATATGTTTTTTTACCATAGCCGAGCAACCCTACTTTAACACATTGCATCATTTTCAGTTTCTTTCTGAAGCGTTTTAAATCTGTAGACCGGTGTTGTTAACATCGCGCGTGTCTTCTGCCTTCCTTCGGCTTCTCTCCTAATGACAAACACCTCCTCTCACTCTGCTCTCTTTTCTCTTTCCTCTTTCTTTTCCTCCTGAAATCAGTTTCTGTGTGGCTATCAGCAGCCCAGCACACCTGCTCCCAAGGTAATCACCAGCCTTTAGCCACATGTGGTCCCTCCAACCCCGTGTGTGTTCTCTTAAGCCAAGTCCAATTATCCATGACGTGCTTAGCAGCATCCCTCTGCTCCCTCTCAGCCCTTCTTTTTATTTCACAGGTGTGCCAAAAGCAGAGGGGAACATTGTGCTGATGAGGGGAAATTTGGCGTGAAGTTAATGAAAAATAAGCTTTCAAACTCTCTGACACAGTAGGCAGTTCTGCATACAGACGAAAACTCCTGCATGCTTTTAAAATGTTTAAATCTAATTGTGTTTTGGCTTTACTCACAGGATCACAGTGACAACTGGTGTCAGAGATTTTGTGTTGTCTCCTCTTTTAATTGTCCGTCGTGTGCAATAGAAATAACGTGAGAGCAATCTGTGTTTGCTTTGTGGATCTTAAGAGTTTGAAGCCACTGGTTATTTATGGTTGTAGGCGTTCAAAATTAAATTCCCATTTAGGGTGTTTTATATACCATTGTGATGTCCCATTACAGCAGCATCAATAGCATGTCTTTACCTGCAGTGCAAATATTCTGAAACTATCCGTTTTGTATGTGTTTGCGTTCGTAGGGCGTTGAGACGAGGAAGCGCTCCCCGACTCTGAGCAGTCAATTCAAACGATCTCTGGAGCTGCTGATGAGGACGCTCAGTGTGTGTCAGCCGTTCTTCGTTCGCTGTATAAAACCCAACGAACTTAAAAAACCCATGGTGAGCGTGATTTATTACTATGTATGCGCTTCTGTGTTGCGATGCCCCAGAGTACGGAGATATGTTCAGAGTAGGGTGACCATATTTTGATTTCCAAAAAAAGAGGACACTTAGCTCAGTCATGAAGAACTTGCTTAAAGAAACATATTTAACATATTTAAACGATGCCTTCTCTGTGTGGTTAATTAATTGTGAAATAAAATATGTCATATAGGCTTTTACAAGTCAACAAGTGCAAAACAAATAACTTAAAAACCTCTGGAATTAAATAATGGTACAGAAATAATGCCTCATCTGCATAAAAAGAATTACCAGTACTGGGTCGGTATGAGGGCTGGACTGGGACAAAAACTTGACCAGGGTATTTTGACTAGAGACCGGCCCACCAGGTATTATAGGAAAAGCCATAAAGCCTTTGAATGAAAACGAACACTGTTGTGACAGTGATGTACACGGTCTTGTTGGTATATGTATGATTTCTATACATTTTACATCAGATAAGAACTTTGTTTGTAAGATTCAGATAATTATTTTTTAAAAGCGAGACATTTTAAATGAGAATAAGAAAGAAAAGTATTTCCTTGTGCCCCCTTTCCCTGTTAATGCCCTACCTGCCCCCCTGGCAAAACTTTGCTAGACCCACCCCTGACACAGTTACCAGCTGTCAGCTACATAGAAAAGGATCCTGGTGTTATTTGTCTCTCTGAAACAGTTCATAACTTCCCTTCAACTCATTCATGTCACCTAAAAGGTAAACCTGTTTCTCCATCACCTGTTCAGCTCTGATGATTCAGTAAGGACATCTCCTGGTTTCATCTTCATGTTTCCCTCTCACCACATATCCAAACCGATATCATATCACTATCAGTAACATAGCACCCACCCAGCTGTATAGAAACTCCGTCATGCTAGCTAGCTCGTACGAGTTATTGTAACTGACTGTAAAATGTCAGCACAGCACGCTGTCAGTCCCATCTGTGAGCACAGAACAAGCGCTCACAAAGCAGCAGTTCAGGGATGACGTCACACACATGGGTCCTCTATCGGAATACAGGAAAACCCGGACATTTTTATCAATCTCGAAAATCCCCCCGGACAGAATGTGAAAAGTGGACATGTCCGGGGGAAAAGAGTTGGTCACCCTAGTTCAGAGTGTAGCCACGGCATAGCACCGCCCCTTTGTGAAAACAGACTTCCTCTGTTATATAGTAAAGTTTTCATACTGTTAGGCTACTAAAGTAGAATTTTTACTTATATATATAGTATATATTATATATAATATTATAA